GCGGGGCATGTGGCGGCCCACTGGCGGGACCGCCCGGACAGGAGCAGTCGGTGCTACCGATGCGGCGAGGACGGAAACCGCGTGGCCGCGTGTCCGGCGGAGGAGGCCAAGTGTCCTCTCTGTTCGGACCGTGGTCGGCCATCCGCGCACAGGATGGGCACGAGGGAGTGCCCGTCCTTCGCGCGGCGGGGAAAAGTGGCCCGGTCCGCCCCGCAGTCGGTTGGCGGGGGCGATGCCCCTGCCGGCACCGGCTCATCGAACGAAACGGCGCTCGCGGCGCCTATCCCGGCCGCTGAAGGCTGGAAGGGGGCCAAGAAGAAGAAGGGGAAGAAAACCACCGCGGGGGCGGGGGTGTAAAACCCCTCGCCTGCGCGGTGAGGCGCCTCAGCCCCTCGGCTGAGGTGCAGGTTTACGCCTGCGCGGGGAGTGGGCCCTTGCCCCTCCCAGCGCCGGCATTTTTGGGGGATAGCGGCGCGGTGCCGGCGTTGTGGAGCTTGCCCTGCTGCGGCGGCGCTGCGCCGTAGGGGCCGCAGGGTGGTCGAGTGGGGGCTCGACAGCCCATTGCACGCGGCCCCCTGGGGGGTAGTCGGTGGGGCGGTATGGCCCCGTCCCACCAACCTTTAGAGGTACGATCCGGAGACTGTCTCAGCGAGGTCACTGCGGTCATCCGCGGGGGGATCGCGGTGCGTGTACATCGATCCCGTGATCCACTATACCGCGGTGAGGGAGGCCACCAGGGAGTTTTTAGTGGGTGCGGGTCCCACAGTACCCCCGCCTCTCCCCTAGGAGGCGGAGGTGTGCGTAGGCATTTTCTCCCCGTGAACCAAAAAAAAAAGGTCCCTCCCGGAGTGAGCTCCAGTAGCGTTGAGGGTGAGGGGCCGGGGGATTGAGTACCTGGCCCCGTTTGCAGCTCTCGCCGCAGGGGTCGGCAGGGGACGGTAGTCCCCTTCGCACGCCGACCCACGGGAGCGTCGGCTCGGTCACGACTTTTGGGGGGTTCCCGTGGCCGGCCGCGGGGATCGCAGGGGTCTCGAGTGAGGGCTCGGGACCCCAGTGCATGCGATCCCGAGAGGTGCCGGCAGGGCGGTGTGGCTCCGTTCCGCCGGCGAAGAACAACGGATGCCTGGGGAGGCGTATTATCCCACCCCCCCGGGACGAACCCGTATACCGGCAGGGCGCGGGGGGGCCGCGGTTGCGCAACCGATCCCGTAGCCCCCCCCCCCCTAATGCGCCGCAGGTGGCCACCGAGGAGGATTTAGTAGGTACAAGCCCCATACTACCCCCGCCCCTCCCTCAGGGGCGGGGGTGTCCGTCAGGAATTTTCTCCTCGTAAAAAAAGAAAAAAAAGGTCCCCCCTCGTGCTCACTACCTTGGCGTGGTGAGGGGGCTTGAGCGTTCCTATGATCCCTGTGGCTATGCCGGCGGGGAGCTTGCCCCCCTGGCAGGTTCAACCATGCCGGACAGACGCAGCATGAGGAGCCAAACTAAGAGCGAGCATACACACCTACATACACACACACACACGCGCGCACACGCACGCACCCGCGCAACCATCCACACAACATCGATACACATCCACACAACTCATACACGCTGCGGTGACCCTCGTCCTTCCATCCCGTGAGCCCCCGCTGGCGCGGGCCCAGTTTACCGACGGCTAGTTCGTCGGGGCCTGGGTCACCGCGCCTGCAGGCGCGGAGGGGGCTGGGGGGCGCACACACATACATGCACACAAACACAAAATCATACCGTAATCCTCTCCCTCTGAGCAACGACCCCGCCATCGTGGGCCCAGTTTACCGGCGGGTAGTCCGTCGGGGCCTGGGTCCCGCGGCGGCGGGTACGCGAGGAGGACAGGGGACCGGGGGCCTTGGCTTAACCTCCCGGGCCGCGAGGAAGATAACCTCTATAAAACTTACCCCAATCCCAAGGTATGGTGCGCGCCGAAGGGATGCATGGCCGAGGGGGTGCTTGGTCTCAAGCGACCACCTCCCGGGGACCTGCCTATCCCCGGGGCTTACGAGGCCTTCGCGATGTATAGGAGGCTCTGGCCGCGACGACGACAACAGCCTGCCACACTCGTGGGAACTAAATGGAGAAACAAGAAACTTTCAATAAACGAAGAGACGAGGGAGTAGAGAGAGAAGAGGAATCTGGACGGCAGGAAGGGGACCCCACCAGAACCCGGAAGGGCGCAAAGTCGGCCCGGTAGAGGGAGAAGGAAATCATGAGTACCATGTTGAATATAACCAATGAAGCGGCGGACTTCTGCAAAGAAAACCGGAACGTCCACCGAGAAATCGAGAACATGGTTGCCGAAATGGGCTGTAACGCGATTTTCCCTCCATCTGAAAAATCTCGCGCACCTTCATCGATCCACGTTCTCGCCTCCCTCCCTGTTCTCTGACTATCCAATGGGCGCTAGTTGATTTTTGGGTCCCCGGAACCAACAAACCAGTTTAATAAGAATCGTAATTCATAATCGCAAAACTTATCACCTAAATTATGTCACGAAACGAAGAGAATGGCGGCGAGAGAGGATTCGGACGGCATGTCCCGTGTCGCTCAGGAGGCAAGTTGTGGAGAGTTAGAGTCGGGGTCGTAACTGACCTATGGGACAAGGGTAGGTGACAAAAGCTACACTTTAGCGAAAAATGAAGAAAGTTGTATATTCTTTGATATTCCCAGATACTCTAGTACATCATTTTTACGCGATCGTACATCGCGGCCGGAAAAGAGGTCCTTCGGTGATCGTACTCAGTTTTCCATTGAACGCGCAGGCGTCCGTAATGCCATGAGCCTCGACCAATAGACGCGAAATTGAGATCCCCGAGACTCTGATATCGCAAACGGAACGGAACGGTAACGTATGGAACTCCATACTCACCCTGGAGTTCCCTGGAACGGACGTGAACGGAACCCTAATGTCTTACTGGAGCAATCGACCGGCACCTCGCCCTCGATCCTGTTCTTCACACATCCACTAGCGGCACTCACTCGGGTCAGACTCTCTTTTCGAAATCCTCCACAATCCTACGCAACCCGAAAATCCGGACATATTTCTCCACTCGGCGTACCCGGCGAGTCATGGGAGGGAAACGTTCGGTACCTTGGAGGTCGCGGGGTTGTCACCGGGTCCCCGGAGAGTGGTAGGGGAATTCGCGAGACCGATGAGGAATCCGCTGGCGGGCCCCGCCTTGGGACCGACCTTGGTGGTGGAGGACGACCTATCTAAACTAATGCCACGGCTTCCTCGGCAGTAGCTGTGGCCTGTCCACCGCGCGAGGCCTGCCACCCGTATCTCTTGGCGCCTCCGGGCCTCACCAGGTCGATTCTCTCCGACTCGGGGCGCTGGGATCACCAGACCGCTGGCCCTTGCCGGAGAACCTCCTCGGTCGGAACGCTCCACCCGGTTGGGAGATTCTCATTTGGTCCATGTACCGCTTTCCGGGTGGGCGTCCTCCCGGTGACCTCGCCGAATTCCCCCCGTGGGACGAGGAAACTCACTCCCCGGATGTTTTGGGAAGTCAGGGCCCCTGCCTCGACCTCCTCACGTCCCTCCCCGCGCTCGATCCTGCGGGTGCCGAGGGGTCCTGGAGCGGAACGGCACCTATACTAGTCTCCTCACTCCATCCTTAGAGTTTTCCGGAGATCCCGTATCATCTATTGCGGTCGTGGTCTTGGGACGGACGAAAATCTGTCACAGGGCAGACTGATGAACACTCTGACAGGAGTATCCGAAGAGGTCGATAAGGAGCTAGTCCTACTTAGGACGAAGAACGCGCCCAACGCGAAGACTGAAAAAGAGCGCGGAGATGCCTACGGGATGGACGGACACACGCCGACGGAGGAGCCGACGAAGACCTACGCGGAGAAGGTGATCCAAACGGATATGGCCTTCACCTGGAGCCCGACCAAAGACTGAGGCAGAAAGAAGCCGCCCAAGCCCACGGGCGGCCATACGGAAAGCCGATCCGATGATACGGTGACTACCGGGCCACCCATTGTCGCCCCCGAGGCCTCAAGAAATACCGAGGCAGAAGAGGAATTCGACACGGTGGACAACGAAGAAGAAGGAAGGTGGGAAAAGGCGGAGGGGAAAAAGAAGAAACGGAAGACGAAGAAGAAGAGGCAGAGGCAGAACGAGAAGAAAGCCGACGGCAGGGATACTGGTGACCGAGGGACCGCCGCCACGGGGGGATGGGGAGAGGGAAATCTTGAAGCCAACCCCATACCAAAATCTAAACCCAAGGCGAGAGGTAGGGTCAGACTAGAGGCTGTCCTAATTGTGACAGGCGGCAAGGTGAGCGAGGACGAAACAAGAAAGAGCTACGCTGCAATCCTGAAGAGGATCAGGGCGGCCGTATATCCAGAGGATACCGGTAACGCGGCAGCTCAATGCGCTGCACGGTACGCGGTGACCTCTTAGTAGAGCTAGAGCCGAAAGCCGACGACGAGGTAGTGGCTAGAGTCAGGGAAGCCCTAGCCAAAGCAGCGGGAGAGGACATAGAGGTCAAAAGGAGGACGCCGAGAACGATGGTGGAAATCCTGGAATGACCTGGACGAGGAAGTAGACGCAGACGAGGTCAGCACAACCTTGGCCGCGGTCGCTAAAATTAAAAAAGACAAGATCAAAGTCCTGAACCTCAGGAAGGGGTACGGTGGCGTACAAAGGGCCGTGGCCACAATGCCAGCCAGGGAGGCTAAAACGCTATTGGAGGGAGGCAGGATCCGGGTCGGACTCGTTAACTGCCGGATAAGAAACAGGGAGGAGGTGACCCGCTGTTTCAGATGCCTGGAACCGGGACATGTTGCTAAAGTATGCAATGGCCCTGACAGATCAACGAGCTGCCGCAGGTGTGGTGAGCGAGACCACCTACAAAAGAACTGCGTAGCGAAACCGAGGTGCCCCTTATGTACGGACAGAGGGACCGACGCGGGCCACGTGATGGGTTCGACCAGGTGTGATGCCAGGAGGAGAGCAATCACAACCCTAAGAAATGGCTAAGAGGATACTCCAGATCAATCTAAACCCGTGCCGCGTGGCGCAGGCGCTGGCTATGCAAAAGGCCTGCGAGATGCAAGCGGACGCCGTTGCGATCTGCGAGCAAAATGCGAATGAGAAACGTGGGGGCTGGTATTCTGACTTGAACGGAAAGGCAGCCATAGTAGTTCCACCAGCAAGCGAGTTTATGGTGGACGAGGTTGGCCCAGAGAGAACGGGGTACGTGTGGGTGCGCTCCGGCAGTAGGAGACTTTACTCGTGCTATATATCGCCCAACGCGGACTGGACAGAGTTTCGAGACTTCCTGGAGAGTCTTGAGGGGAGCCTGGAAGATTGGAGAGGAAGAAACACCATTGTCTGCGGAGACTTCAACGCCAAGTCACCGGATTGGGGAGCGACGAGAGAAGACAGGAGGGGAGCGGCTTTGTCAGAGATTGTCAGCCGACTTGATTGGGCTGTCACAAATAGGGGCGACTACCCAACCTTCCAGAGGGGCGTGTCGGAGTCAATACTGGACCTCACCTTCGTGTCAGCCGCGATGGCCACGAAAATAAACGGGTGGAGCGTCCTAGAGGACGAAACCCTGGGTGACCATCTTTATGTGGCATTCTGGGTCGACGGGCCCACCTTCGCGGTCACCAGGAAGCGCCGGGAAGGGGGCTGGGCAATAAAGATGTGGAATAAGGAGGCATTCTCTGACATCATTCGGGGGGCAAGCGTGGTGCCCGACTCGGGCACTATCGAGACTTCAATGGGGAGAATGATGGAAACGGTGACCGCAGCCTTGGACCTGACGGCGCCATAGAGAGGAACAGCCCCCAGGCTGAGAGCTAAGTGCTGGTGGTCCCATGAAATTGCCGCGCTGTGGAGAGCATGCCATGCAGCCAGAAGGAGGCGGCAGCGGGCTCTCGGACGGCGTGGTCTGGAGAGGAGCGCACTACAAATTGAGGAGGCCAAGGAAGCAAAAAGGGCACTTACTAGGGCCATCAGGGAAAGCAAAAGAAGATGGTGGACGGAGGTCTGCCCAGAAGTGGATAGAGGGGAGGCCTGGGATATCGAATTGTCCGAAAGAAGATACGGGACAACACTCCGATACCCGGAATCGAAGAAAGGGTCGACGATGTGGCCCATAGCCTCTTCCCGCAGACGCCGGCACTAGCCGAAGGATATCACGACGCGGAGGGCGGGGACTTCGAGGCGATAACAACCGAAGAACTTCAGGCTGCGTCGAAGAGGCTTAAAACTAGAAAAGCCCCGGGGCTGGATGGTGTGCAAAACGAGGTCCTGAAGCTGGTGGCCCAGCTAAACCCCGAACTCTTACGGGGAACCTTAAACCGGTGCCTCAGAGAAGGGGAGTTGCCGACTAGTGGGAAGGAGGCCAGGCTGATCCTTCTCAGAAAGGGAAACAAACCATTAAGCGAGGCGAGCTCCTACAGGCCTATATGCCTCACCAATACGTGGAGCAAGCTCTTGGAGAGGATAGTCCTCACCAGATTAGAGGCAGTGATTGAGGAGAAGAAAGGCCTGTCGAACAACCAGTACGGTTTTAGGAGGGGGGTCTCGACTGTTGATGCGGTGGCCAGGGTGGTTGAAACGGGGAGGACAACCTCCATGGGAACATGGAGACGTAAGGAGGTGTGCGTCATGGTGACTCTAAACGTGCGCAATGCATTCAATAACGTGCGTTGGGATACGGTCCTAGCGGTGGTCAATGCGATTGCGCCTGGGTACCTCGGAAAATTTATTCGAGGGTATTTCAGAGACAGGCTGCTAAGGTGGGGCGACAGGGCGTGGGTACTGTCGTGCGGGGTCCCACAGGGCTCCCACGCTGTGGAACCTAGTATACGAGGGGCTACTGAGAACGGAAATGCCCGAAGGGATCCAGGTTATAGCATTTGCAGACAACGTAGCCTTGATTGGCGTGGGAAAGCACAACCTGGCCTTGCGAGAGAGGATGGAGGAGGCCCTGGACCGGACCGACAACTGGCTCAAACAGCAGCACCTGGATCTGGCCGTCCAGAAGACCGAGGCGATTATCCTGACACGAAGGAGAGGTGGCGACGAGCTCCCGCGCATCAGACTCCGGGGGGTCGAGATAGCCTAGCGAAATGGCAACGAGGAGCTAAGATACCTTGGCATTACCCTCGACGCGGGTCTGGAATTTCGGGCCCACATAAGGGAGGTGGCCAGACGGGGCGGGGATGTCGTCAGAGACCTCACAAGGCTGATGCCTAACTTGGAGGGGCCTAGAGCCAGCAGAAGGGTCCTGTGCACCGTCATGGTATCAGTGGTGATGTACGAGGCTCCACTATGGGCGGGCTGCCTGGATACCGACAGGGCCAGGGCCATGTTAGAAAGAGTGCGCAGATAAGCGTCCCTGCGGATCACAGCGGCGTACAGAACGGTGTTCGGGGATGCGGCGGGGGTTCTGGCGGGGATTCCACCGCTACATGTACTTGCAAGGGAAAGGGCGGAAGTGTATAGGGCCACTAAAGATGGGACCACGATGAGGGATGCGAAGATGGACGCCAGAGAAGAGCTGCGGCAATCATGGCAGACGGAGTGGAGTCGATCCGCGAAGGGAAACTGGACCAGGTCCCTGATCCCTACGATTAGGGAATGGACCACGCGCACACACGGGGAAACATACTTCCACCTCACGCAGGCCCTTTCGGGACACGGCTGCTTCGCCGTATACCTGAAGAAGATCGGCAGGGGAGAGGACGGCCAGTGCGACCACTGCAACTCGGAGCCGGACGACGCCGAACACACCCTAGTAAGGTGCACAGCCTGGGAAGAGGGTAGGAGACAGGTGGAAGCGTAGATAACTGCGAGGCTCGAAATAAGCACCATGGTCCCGCTGATGCTGAGAAGCTCGGACAATTGGAAGCTGATCAGCACATGGATCGGGACGGTCATGGCTGCCAAGGAGAAGGAGAGAGAGCGCGAAAGCGAAGAAAGAAGAAGAGTGAGGGAGACACAGGCGGCGACATAAGCAGTACAAGCGGAGAGGGCAGAAACCTGCTGAACCTGGGGGGTCGCGAGAAAATGCAGACAAGCTGGGACCAGGCCCCTCGGGAGGAGAGAGCAGACGAGGAGGTGGTCTTAGTGGGTATACACTTCGGTGGGAGTCCCACACTACCCGGGGTGATAAATCATCCTTCCTCGGGTGGGCGTCATGCATTCCCCTCCTCGAAAAAAGGGTCGGGTCGGGTCGGGTCGGGTCGGGTCGGGTCGGGTCGGGTCGGGTCGGGTCGGGTCCCCCTCGTGGTGCATCACCTTGTTGTGGTGAGGGGGCTTGCGTGGCTCAATGATCCCTAAGGCTGTGCCGGCGGGGGCTTCGGCCCCTGGAAGGTCCTACCTTGGCGGAGTGGCTCAGGGTGAGGGTCCAGACTAAGAGTGCACCAAAACCCGTGCCCAGCTGTCGTATCGTGGCGAAGGGCATTGCAGACGGGACAACGATACCGGTGGCGGCCTCGCTATTTGCGGGGTCGTCACAGTCACACCGTAACCCCTTCGTGTTGTCGTGGATATGTCTCGCGAACACGGTGGGGCCGGGGGCCTTGGCTTAACCGCCCGGGCCACGAGGAAGAAAACCTCTATACAAAATTACCCCAATCCCAAGGTATGATGCGCGCCGAAGGGATGCGTGGCTGAGGGGGAGCTCAGTCGTAAGCGATCAACCCCTGGGGCACCTGCCGAACCCCGGGGCGTAACAAGGCTTGCCCTGGTCAAGGCGGCTCTGACCAGGGCTGACGCCCAGCATCGACCTACTCGTGGGATGTTATGACAAAATCAAAGCCAAAACCAAGGTGCAAGAAGGAAGAGGAGGCGAGGAGGGCGCGATGCGTGGACGCTGCATCCAAGGCGGCAGCCGCGGCAACACAGGAAGCGGGCAGTAAGACCAGGCAGCGGGAAGATCTGGAGGAACGGCCGATCAGGGAAGATCGACCCGTTACCCGGATGGAGGAAGGAGCGAGTGACGGGTCGCCGGAGAACGTGGCCGGTCCATCAAGGACGTTGATGGAGGGGGAGGTGTCCCTCCCGAGGACGCGGGCCCAAGCAGAGGCCAGGGCGACCCAAGAATCGGAGAGGCCCCCGAGTGCTGCAAGCACCGAGAGGGCCGAAAGCAGCTCCTCCTCCTCCAGTGACTCGGAAGGCTCCGCCTCATGGGACGGGAAGAGGAAGAGGCCCTCTCGCGTATCAAGCGGGGCCAGCTCCAAGAGCGTCGGCGGGTCGAGGAAACGGACGTCGGAGGCCGACAGTATCCGAGAATACGGCGGGGGGCGGCAAGGGGTGGAGGGAGGGACGGAGGAAGATGCCCCCAGCTGGAGCCTGACGGAGGTTAATGCGCCCCCCGAAATGCTAATCCCGGGAGAGGTCGGGCTGACTGAGGAGCTTCGAGAGAGGCCGGCCGCACCTCCCTGGGGAACTGGATGGGCCCTCGGCTATAGAGAGATGGAGGCAGAATCCATGGGGGGCCCACAAGCCCTCCAGGGCGAGCAAGAAGCTCCCGACTGACGAGGAGGTGGCAGAGGAACTCCGGGAGAGGCCGTCGGCTGACCTCGGAGTGGTTATTTACGAGGCGGCGGATGTAATTGGCCGGGTGATCAAAAACTCCGGCCACTTACAAGGGACGTTCATCAAGCAGTTGCGGGAGGCCGCCCAGAGGGCGAGATTTGCAGGGTCGGAGCTCCACTCTAGAACGGCTGCAGGCACGGGCGCGGCGCTGCTCGCTTGGGAGAACCAGCAGCTCCGCGTCCGCGTCGAGGAGGCGGAGTCGCGAGCCCAGGGCATGGCGCAGGAGCTGGAGAAGCTCAAGGCCGCCACGGGCGGAAAGCTGGCGGCGCCAGACGCAGCCGCTCGAGGGGCGGGGCGGGGATGCCCCCCCCCGCGCCGGAATCACCGGCTGTGGGAGAGGGGACGTACGGGCGGGGCCCGGAACTCCTTACGGAGGTCTGAGCCCTCATGAAAGAGGCCCTAGCGGCCTTTAGGTGGGAGCTCCTCGCGGAGGTTCGGCGCGGGGTCGCTCCCCCCGCGGGCCCCCCGAGGACGGGTCCCTCGGGGCCATCGCGTACTCCCGGCGGGGCCCCGCTGGCTGCGGGAGGGGCCCCTGAGGGCCAAAAGAAGAAAAAGAAAAAGAAGGGGGGAGGGGCCGGTCAGCCGGTGATGGCGGCCCCCCCTCCCGCACAGAAGAAGGACGGAACCCGACCCCCCCTCCAGGAAGATGGAAGGAGCAGACATGTGCCGGGAACATCCCGAGCGCGGGACGGCGGGGAGGCTCTCCAGCCGGCCGGGGGATCGGGTGCGGTCCCCTGGTCGGTGGTGGTGGGCCGCAAGGCGAAGAAGGGCAAGGAGGGCGACGGGATACCGCCCTCCAAACCCACGGGAGGCGGTGGAGGGGTTGGTGTCGGGGCTGGGGCGGGCGCGAGGCCCAAGCCAAGGCCCCGCATCCCGCGCCCTCCCAGGGACGCGGCAGTTACAATAACCGTCCTGCCGGGGGCCTCCACCACATTGGTGGAGGCGATGGACAGAGCGAGGAGGGGGGTCTCCCTGGACGAGTTGGGGATCCAGGGGGGACTCCGTCCCCGCAGGGCGGTTACCGGGGCGCTGGTTCTGGAGGTGCCGGGGCCGGAGAGTCATAGGAAGGCTGGGGACCTCGAGGAGCGCCTTCGGGCGCTCTTCGAGGAAAGTGAGGTCCGCGTCGCCCGGCCGACCAAGATGGCGGAGGTCAGGGTCCGGGACCTCGAGGGATCGGTTGCCCAGGCGGAGGTGGCAGGGGCCATCGTCCGGTCGGGGGGCTGCGAGCCAGGGGACGTAAAGGTCGGGGCCATAAGGCAGTCCCCATCCGAACTGGGGACGGCATGGGTGCGGCTACCGGCCTCAGCGGCCAGAACGTTGACGGCGGCAGGGAGGCTCCTGGTCGGTTGGACGGCAGTCCGGGTGGAGGCACTGGAGTCGAGACCTCTCCAGTGCTTCAGATGCCTGGAGAGGGGACACGTGCGGGCGACGTGCTCCGGTCCCAAAGACCGGAGCGCGTTATTTTACGCCTGCAGGGAGGCCGGGCACCTGGCGAGTGCGTGCCCGGCGGAGGAGTTCAGGTGCCCGGTCTGCAGGGACCAAGGGAGGCCGGACGGTCACCGACTGGGGGCCAAGGGGTGCTCCCCACCTGGACGCAGGGCGCGGATGGGACCGATGGGGGCACCCCCGGGCCCCGCGGAAAACACCACCACCGCGGAGAGGGAGGCTGCGGCAGCGGCGACCACATCCACCGTGGGATGCGTGGCGGAGACCGGGGCCGCGGGAATGTGGACCATGGAGATGTAGGCCCTCCCGCGGCGCGGGTGGTGATGCAGGCGAACGTGGCTCACTTCCGCGGGGCGCAGGACCTGCTGGTCCACGCCCTCCGGGAGGTCGGCGCCGACGTGGCCATCGCGGCGGAGCCGCACTCGGTCCCTACCAGCCCTGACTGGGTGGGGGGCGAGTGTGGCTCCATTGCTATCGTGAGGGGCGGGCGGCCTCGGGCCCCACTCCTCGTGCCTCTGGCGCGGGGGGAGGGATTCGTGGCCGCCGAATGGGACGGCGTGGCCCTGGTCGGGGTGTATGACCGTCCGAGCTGCACCCTGGCCGAGCTGGAGGAGCAGCTGGACGCGGTGGGGAGGTGTAACCTTCCTGAACCCGCCGCGTCCGCTGGTGGTCCTGGGGGACTTCAACGTCCACGCTACGGCGTGGGGGTCCCCCAGGACCTCCGTGAGGGGACACGCCGTCCTCGACTGGGCGGCGGGGCTCGGCCTTTTGTTGCTTAACAGGGGGTCGAGGAGTACGTGCGTGCGGCCGCAGGGGGAGTCCATCGTGGATCTCACGTGGGCTTCCCCGAGAGCCGAGCGCCGTATCTCGGGGTGGAGGGTGGCAGAGGAGATGGAGACCCTATCGGATCACCGGTACATACTGATGAGGGTCTCCCCCCCTGCCGCCTCGGGCCGCGAAGGCCAGCCCCTCCCGCGCCCCGTTGGTCCCGTGGCGCCGCGGTGGTCGCTGAGGGCGCTGGACCGGGCCATGTTGGCTGCGGCCGCTGCTGCCACTGAGTGGCGGGGCGGCGGTCCGGCTCCCCCCTTCGGTGACGTGAAGGCGGGGGCTCGGGTGCTCGGGGAGGACATGGCGTGGATATGCGACTGCGCCATGCCCCGGGCGCGCGCGCCCCCTCCCAGGCGGGCGGCGTACTGGTGGAACGAGGAGATCGCGCGCCTTAGGGCATCTTGCCATGGCGCGCGCTGCCGGTACGTCCGCTCGCGCCGGCGCCGGCGGTGAGACCCGGAGGAGATGGCGGCCCTGAGGGTGGCGTACCTGGAGGCGTCCAGGGCCCTCAGGGTCGCCATCGCTCGAGCTAAGGCCCGGGCCTGGCAGGAAATGCTGGGCGGGCTCGACGGCGACCCATGGGGGCGCCCGTACAGGATGGTCCTGGGGAAGCTCAGGCCATGGGCGCCCCAGGTCGCCGAGACCCTGGACCCCTCGGCGGTGGGGCGGATCGTCGCGGTCCTCTTCCCCTCGGGGGAGGGGGGCGCGCGGCCTGTCCCGGCGCCGGCGGCCGGAGCGGACCGACTCGCCGGGGTTGGGGTCGGGGAGGACGAGCTCGTTCGGGCCGTCCGGGAGCTTTCGGGGCGGAACACCGCCCCGGGCCCGGACGGTATTCCTGGAGCGGCCTGGGCCTTGGCATCGAAGGAGCTGGGTCCCCGACTCCGGGCGCTCTTCACGGAGTGCCTGGAGGCGGGGAGGTTTCCCGGCTCGTGGAAGGTGTCGCGCCTGGCCCTCATTGGGAAGCCGGGC